GTTTCCCCCCAGCCGCTACGCCCCTAGAATAAGAGAACGACAGGCAGACGGAGGGGGGAAGGCCAGGACCTGGCGGGGTCCCGTGCAGGTGGGCGCGCAGGGTGTGCGCGGGCCGCGGGTGGGACGGTCAGCACCTCGGACAGCTCCCCGCCGCGCGATCCCGGGCCCACAGCTCCTGCCGCCGCGGCGCGCGCTGCCTCCACAATGCACTGCTGCGCCGGTGGCCACCGCGCCGGCGGGAGGAGGAGACCGAATCCCGCTCAGTGCATCCCTCACCCCGTGCCAGCTCAGCGTACACTGCTGCTCAGGGGGCCAAACACTTCCACCGCTTCCACCAGAGGAGGAAGGACGGAAGAGAGAGAGAAAGGTAATTGCCTTGCTTCCCGGCAGGGGGACAGCTAATTGCTTCTAATTACCTGCTGTCGCTCGCCCCCGTGGATGGTGGACTGACATTTAAGATGGGTTTGTCCTCTTTTAAAACTCGAAGGGCTTTACTCTCGAGGCCGACTCTGAGTTCTTCCAGACGGGCTGGCTCTAAACAGAGGGGTGGGACCGCCAGGGTAATCGGTCCTTGGGGTCCATGACTCTTCTCGCAGAGTCCCAGTCCTCTGTTAACGTCAGATAGAGAGCGGGAGGGAAGGGCACTGACTACGGAGCGCGTGACCAAGCGCCGCTGGCAGGTCCATCTCCCAGGCGCCAAAGCCGGCCCTGAAACTCCTAAGCTTGAAAGTCTCCAAGGTCATCACCTTAGAGAAACCTAGGGCAGGCCAGTGCAGAGGAGAGAGACCCGGGTGAGGTTGACCTCCTCCACAAACCCGCACTTCCTCTGCAAAGATGAGCCAACAAAGTCCTTCTCAAGTATAAGGACAGCCCTCAGACCAATCAAGAAACAGCAGTGCTTCCTCTGCCCTCACCTACTGAAAACTGGGCCCCTGGTGTACACCCAGTGCTACCTGGAGACACAAAGGCTCACTCCACACTGGCTTCATGATCCTAGGCCCCTGCTTGTTTTATAGTGTCTATTCCCCACCATCAGGTAATGCTTGCACCATGCACAGCCCATACTAAATGGCACCCAGTTTGAAACAGGTTCATGTGAGTTACAACCCCAGAACTAAAGTCACCTAGGTCCTTCCCAAAGGAGAAGTCAATGTTTTGCGTTTGTCCCATTTTCCCAGCTGAATAGAGTTTTAAAGGTTATCAGGGTCATCCCTAGTGTTTTGTGTGCTTTCCTCATATGTGCTTATCCCTAGAAAATATAACTATTCTGAAACTATAGTGTTTCTCAATAATTTGGTTGGTGGCCATAAGTTCCACACTCTTGGCAAATTTAAAGCTTTCAAATAGCCTTGTTGGCACCAGTTGTGTCATCTGATTGAAAATGCAAATAGTTTTCCAGTTCTTGAACTGCAGTTTTCATGGAGGCATATGGGCAACCTCAACATAACACAATCAGTACTGCTCTTAGCACCTGGCTCAACACAGGCTTGAACAGATGGGGCCAGCCTAGCAGGAACAAAATGCAAGTCAGCTGATGAGCAAGATAGTGTGCCCAACAGGATGGAGTCCCTCATGTCCCCAAGTTACACCAAAACCAAGGACTAATGATTTTCACTCTTCTTAGTACATCATTAGGTAAATTTGAAACATTATTTGAAATAATCATTGAATGAAAGTCTTCTTTCTTTTAACACACTTAAAAGTGCTCTGTTTTACAACTGTTACCTTTTTTTTTAGAGATTTTTGCTTTAGGGCACATGTGCTCCCCAGAGAGAGAGAGAGAAAGAGAGAGAAAGATAGAGACAGTGTGAGGGAAAGTAAGGAATCCCTCCCTCCCCAAAGGGAGGATGACCACACCGCAATCCCTTCTCCTCTATTCTCCTCCTAGGATCTTGGACATGCATGCACATTTACCCAGTGTGATTTTCCAGTCACCAGGTCTGCGATTCAAACCATGGCTAGCCATGTGGGTGTCCAGCGATGTAATCACTACATTTTTTTGCTAGTCCCCACAACTGTTCATTTTAAATAGGCTGTATTCTCCTAATATGTAAAAAAAAATGTAATTATCTAAAAATTAGTTCAAGAAAAAGCAATATGGTATAGGACGAGAAAAAAAAAAAGATTTGGAAATGAGTCAGACCCAGACCCAGGTATAGGGTCTTCACCACTTACTAGATATGTGACCTTGCACTTGTGAAAGTTGGCTAACTTGGACCAGCCTTGGTGGTGTAACCAATGGTTCCAGTCCTGGACCCTACAGCTTAAAAGACATGCCAGGGCACTTGCATGCACTCCCAAAATTCTGAGAGGAGAAGGGATTGTAGTGTGGCCATCCTTCCCTGGGGGGAGGGGAGCGGTTTCTCACTTTTTCTTTTTTTCTATCTCTGTCTCTCTCCAGCAAACACACAGAACTTTTAACAATATTTTTTAAGTTCCTTAACTTGTCCTGTCTCATCTGTAATATAAAGAGTAAGAATCTTAAAGGTTTCTTGTTAGGATCAGCTGTGATCTGGATTAATGGATTAATTAAGAGAGAGCACGGTCTCAAACTTATTCCAGTAAATCACTGTCCTTCTGAGAGTAGGTAATACCCTTTGGGAAGCAAACAAAATGTTAGATCAGTGCTTCTCAAGCATTAATGTGCATATGGGACCAGCAGATGGTGTAATGGCTACATTGCTGGACTTGCATGCAGTCGACCGTGGTTTGAGTAAGTACTGGACCCGGCGGTTTAAATTCATGCTGGGCATATGTGCATGTGTGCCCAAGATCCCAAGAGGAGAATGGAAGAAAGAGGATTGCGGTATGGCCATTCCCCCTGGGGGAATGATTTCTCGCTTTCTATCTCTCTGTCTTTCTGGCGAGCGCATGCGCCCTATAGCAAAAACCTCTCAAAAAATTAATATGCATATGAATCCCATTGGGATCTTATTAAAATACAGATTATGATTTAATAGATTAGAGTAGACATAACCATTACACTAACTGCTGGTCCCAGTCAGAGCAATTTTTTAAGAAAAATTTCTTTTATGAGAGTGAAGGACTGAAAGAGTGGTACAAAAAAGAAAACTAAGCATTCTCTAAGGGTCTCATCAGGAGACCCTACCTGCCAACCCTCCTAATCAGCCAGAAGCATGAGTGTTCAGTCTGTTCATGCAAGTCAAGCAAGGAACCAAACCTGTAATCATTCACATGGGCTCTGCATTACTTCCACATTGTTACCACTGTACCTCTGAGCTGGCCTGAGATCCTTTTATTTCCAGTAAAACCAAGGCATTATAATGATTTAAAATGTTTTACTGTTTATGTTAGTTGTCTTGCCAATAAATTTTACATTCGATAATATTATCTCCAATTTTTACTACTATTGAATTTACTACTCTGTTAGTTTTATTTAAATACCCCAATGTGACTAGATTTTTTAGTATCTTTACATCTTGATATAAATCACCAATATAATAATGGAATGCCTGATAGGAAAATGAAAGTACCCTTTAATCCTACCATAATAAGAGTCAGATTTTTTGATAGCCCATTTAATCCAGTCTTACCTATAACTAATGCTTAAGTTTTCTATATAGTTTTACTCTGTCTCTTTTTAAACACTGTCACTCAGAGCAGCTGCTCCCTATTCAAATGGTCCATTGCATTTGAAGATAGTCATATATCAATGAGGCATCACCAGCATCTACTCGGTTCCAACTTTCAGCATGGTTATTTCCGGTCAGTGATAGGAGTAGTGACAGGAGGCAAGATGTTCCAACCTTCTTACTGTGGTGCTGAGTTTATCAACTGGGACACTCCTCCTCCTAGGGATGTTTTACAAACTGCTAGATAAATAAGAAGATACAGGGGGAAAAAAAGTTACCTAATAAAACCAATTACTTAGAGATTCAGGAGAATTTTTAAGTACAAAAGTCAATGTAGATATATTATGAAGTAGAATGTAAATTTTATGGGCCATTCAAACATTAAACAAGACTCTGAAGAACTTATCATAGGAAGATTAGGACTACAATTCTCAGACTTCCCCAAGTCTCCATTAATTCTCTCTAACACTCATATTTATTTAATTCTGGCTTCAGAGTTTTAACAAATAGAAAATCTTAAAAATGCATTCTGAAATATCCTCACTACCACAATTATTTGTAACAAACTTTGGCTCCAGCCATACCCTAATTCTTCCTGCTCCATACTCATTTTAAATACATTATTCAGTAAATTAAATGTAAAAATAAATTTTAACATCTCTGGGGACACTGGGAATAGATTGAAAAAAAGCATTTTCATTATAAAGCATTAAATCATTTGTTTCCAAAAGTCTTAGCTTACAAGTTCTAAATGATTAACAGAAATAAAATACTAGAAAATAACTCTTCCTTTTCTACAAGCTGCTAGATATTATTCAATTGGGCTTAAGGAAGAACACAAAGAAGAAATTAAACAAACATAAGAAAAAGAATGAAAAAAAATGTGGTATACAGAAACAAGAAAACAGAAAAACTGAATGATGAAGACATTAAAAAGTTCATCTTTGTTTGGCATCCAATTGGTATAGACTTAAAATAATTAATTAAAAATATATATAGGAAAGAAAGCGGCATAAATTGAAAATGAAAATGAAGCTGTAATATAGAAAGAAGGAGAAGGAAGAATGAAAAAAGACTTCTACATTTAAAAATAGGAATATTAAAGGATATTATAGGCTTGAAGAATACAAGACAATGTGTCTGTAGGTTTTCATTTTATGAAACAGTTTAAGAGTCCCACAGGATGTTTTAAAGAGAATATAAAATAGCCATACTTTCTGAATGGAAAACATGAGCAAAATTTCCCTAGTGGATAAAGTACATTTGAAAAGTTATAAGTTTGGATTATGTTAATACAAAATGAATGTATTTCTCTACAAAATAGCTATGTATTCACCTGTCACTGTATAGCAAAACAGAAAAATTCAAGACTGAGTGATTATAACAAATAGAGGCTTATAATTACTCACAACTCCGGTGGCTGGAAAGTCCAAGAGTACAGGGCTGGAATCTGGCTAGCCTCTGGTACTATCTCACACCATAGCCAAGAGAAGCAGGCAGGTTAGCGGGAGAGAGAGAGAGGAAACAGAATCTTCCACTCTGCCCCCCCCCTTTCTCTGAGCCACTGAATATCATGCTAATTTTGACTAGCAAGGAGCCCACCAAATTGAAGGCAGGTCTTCCTTTCTGGGTCCATTCTTTCTCAGAGAAAGCACTAATCTATTCATAAGGACAATGCTCCCAAGAACACTGTCTGCCAGGCTCCACCTCTTAGAGGTCTTATCACCTCCTAACACCATGACATTAGTGACCAAATTCTAAATGTGAACCATTGGGGGACAGACCATTGTCTAAACCATAACAATATCCATATTTATTTTTATAGAAAAGGTTATCTCAAAACACCAAGTAAAATTATTGCTTCTACTAGGTAACAAAAGATGGAATACCAGTAGAGGACATTATCGAAATTCAAATCAACTAGGTTAGTTTATAAAGAGAAATATAAAGCATTCAACTCATTTATCCACCTAATCTTCAAAATTGTGAGTAAGCATTATAAAACAATATTCAACCAA